AACCTCTGCTTCTCGGGCTCAAGCTATCCTCCAGCCCCAGCCTCCCAAGTAGCTGGGACTACAGGGATGCACCATCAAGCCTGGCTAACTTTTGCATTTTTTGTAGAGACGGGGTCTCGCCATGTTGCCGAGGCTGGTCTTGCATTCCTGAGCTCAAAGCTATCCCACCCCAGTGTCCCAAATGTTGAGATTACAGGTGTGAGCCACCACACTCAGCCCTATTTTTGTTTTTTTGTTTTTAATGAACCTAAACATAAAAAAATGCCACTATTTCTCCAAAAAAAGCCACTGTTTTTTGAAGATTTTTAGATATGTTATATTGCATTATTCATATACACTTAAGGACTTAATTGGTGAAAGAATGGCATGTAATCTATTTATGCAGTCATGAGATTGTCACATTTTTTAGGGGAAGTGTCACATAATTTTGCACCAGTAAAGATCTAATTTAGCTTTTCCTATCCCCTTATCTGTTTTGCTTTTCCCCAGTTCTCTAAGCTATTTTGGAGAAATAATATAATTGAAATATTTTTATTCAAAAAACTATGGAAGAAAAATTTCTAGTTGTCATTGATTTGTGAAATTGCTAAGCCTGTAATAAGGACAAGATAAAAGGGAAAATGTTAGGCCGGGCGCGGTGGCTCACGCCTGTAATCCCAGCACTTTGGGAGGCCGAGGCGGGTGGATCACGAGGTCAAGAGATCGAGACCATCCTGGTCAACATGGTGAAACCCCGTCTCTACTAAAAATACAAAAAATTAGCTGGGCATGGTGGTGCATGCCTGTAATCCCAGCTGCTCAGGAGGCTGAGACAGGAGAATTGCCTGAACCCAGGAGGCGGAGGTTGCGGTGAGCCGAGATCGCACCATTGCACTCCAGCCTGGGTACAAGAGTGAAACTCCGTCTCAAAAAAAAAAAAAAAAAAAAAGGTAGGGGGGGGAATGTGTGGACCTACCCTGCCAGGAGAGAATTTAGACATCTGGATACATATATGGACTATACTACCCTTTCTACCATTGCATATACTTTAGATTTCATTATACTATACATTTCTTGGGTCTGTGAGAAAGCATTTGCTTAAGAACATTTTCTAGATACTAAAATTAATATCTCTGGCCAAATGTGGTGGCTCACACCTGTAATCCCAGCACTTTGGGAGACCAAGGCAGGTGGATCATTTGAGGTCAGGAGTTCTAGACCAGCCTGACCAACATGGTGAAACCCTGTCTCTACCAAAAATACAACAATTAGCTGAGTGTGGTAGCAGGCACCTGTAATCCCAGTTACTCGGGAAGCTGAGACAGGAGAATCTCTTAAACCTGGGAGGCAGAGGTTGCAGTGAACTGAGATCACACCACTGCACTCCAGCCTGAGCGACAATGCAAGACTCTGTCTCAAAATTAAAATAAATAAATAAAATTAAGGTCTGTAAGAATAATCATTTACTAATGAGAATTGCTTTTCCATTATGCAAGGTAATTTATATATAACCCTAGTGTCTACATCTGAAGAAACTACTTTCTAAAGAATATGCTTTAGCGCCGGGCGCGGTGGCTCAAGCCTGTAATCCCAGCACTTTGGGAGGCCGAGGCGGGTGGATCACGAGGTCGAGAGTTCGAGACCATCCTGGTCGACATGGTGAAACCCCGTCTCTACTAAAAATACAAAAAATCAGCTGGGCATGGTGGCGTGTGCCTGTAATCCCAGCTACTCAGGAGGCTGAGGCAGGAGAATTGCCTGAACCCAGGAGGCGGAGATTGTGGTGAGCTGAGATCGCGCCATTGCACTCCAGCCTGGGTAACAAAAGCAAAAACTCCGTCTCAAAAAAAAAAAAAAAAAAAAGAATATGCTTTAGGAAATAGTGGAGAATTGCTTAGTTTCAGTTAACTGTAGCTGAAAAGCATTTTTAATAAATTTGAGTAATAATAATCCACAAACTTTGTGTTCTAGATTTTTCTTTTGCATCACACTCTGAAAATCTGTTCCCAATGAATGTTTAATTCAGTTGGACTTTTTTTTTTTTTTTTTTTTTGAGATGGAGTCTTGCTCTGTTGCCAGGCTGGAGTGCAGTGGCCCAATCTCAGCTCACTGTAACCTCCGCCTCTGGGGTTCAAGCGATTCTCCTGCCTCAGCCTCCCGAGTAGCTGGGACCACAGGCACATGCCACCATGCCCAGCTAATTTTTGTATTTTTAGTAGACACAGGATTTCACCATGTTGGCCAAGATGGTCTTGATCTCTTGACCTCATGATCCGCCCACCTCAGCCTCCCAAAGTGCTGGGATTACAGGCATGAGCCACTGCGCCCAGCCTCAATTGGACATTTTTTTTTTTTTTTCTTCGAGACGGAGTTTTTTGCTCTTGTTACCCAGGCTGGAGTGCAATGGTGCGATCTCGGCTCACCGCAACCTCCGCCTCCTGGGTTCAGGCGATTCTCCTGCCTCAGCCTCCCGAGTAGCTGGGGTTACAGGCACGCGCCACCATGCCCAGCTAACTTTTTGTATTTTTAGTAGAGACGGGGTTTCACCATGTTGACCAGGATGGTCTCGATCTCTCGACCTCGTGATCCACCCGCCTCGGCCTCCCAAAGTGCTGGGATTACAAGCTTGAGCCACCGCGCCCGGCCTCAATTGGACATTTTTAAGATCAAAAGGAAATAATATTTTGCCCAGATTTTCATCTCTCTCAGAAAATATTTAACATCTCAGTATATGTAGTATCTATTTTTTGTTTGAATGTGGTATTTATATATCCCGTTTGGCTTGTAGTGAACAAATATTTTGCTTTGCTATCACCTAAAATGTTTAAATTATTTATTCAGAGTCATCACCTATGACACTGAGTCGAAGGAGTTCTGGCCGACAGGGAGGAGTTCATGAGTTGTCTGCTTTTGAACAACTTGTTGTAGAATTGGTACGACATGATGACAGCTGGCCTTTTTTGAAACTTGTTTCTAAAATCCAGGTAATTACCAGACTTAATAAAATGTATTCATGTACATTATCTGATTTAGTCCACATGACAACTTTTAAGTAGTCAAAATACCTGTTACTGTCTACTTCTTTATTTTTTTTAGAGACAGGGTTTCTGTCACCCAGGCTGGAGTGCAGTGGCATGACTTTGGCTAGCTGCAGCCTCAACTTCCTGGGCCCAAGTAATCCTCCAACTTAGGCACTTTATTTGGGACTACACATGCCACTATGCCCAGCTAATTTTTTTCTTTTTTAGAGATGGAGTCTCACTTCATTGCCAGGCTGGTCTTGAAGGTCAGTTCCTATATTGAAAACAATAGAGTTGGATAGCACAGTTTCCTCAGACCCTTCTAATTTTGTGACTAACTGTTTTTTTTTTTTTTTTTCCTGAAATGGAGTCTCACTCTTGTTGCCCAGGCTGGAGTGCAGTGGCGCAATCTTGGCTCACTGCAATCTCCTCCTCCCGGGTTCAAGCAATTCTCTTGCCTTAGCCTCCTGAGTAGCTGGGATTAGAGGCACCTGCCACCACACCTGGCTAATTTTTGGATTTTTAGTGTAGATGGGGTTTCGCCATGTTGGCCGGGCTGGTCTGGAACTCCTCCCCTCAGGTGATCCACACATCTCAGCCTCCTGAAGTGCTGGGATTACAGGCGTGAGCCATCGTGCCTGGCCAAGACTGATTCTTTGTAAATGATGAGCATGTGTTACAGTGACCTCATTGTTTTTGTTCTATGTAATGAATATGAATAGAGTTAATTGAGTACCATTAATCATGTTTTTCTTATGTAAAGCAGTGGTTCTCAAACTACAGCATGCATCAGAATCATTTGGAGGGCTTGGCAAAACAGGTTCCTGAGCCCCAGGGTTTCTGATACATTAGGTCTGGGATGATATCTAACTCGTGGATTTCTGACAAGTCCCCATATGATGCTGATGGTCCTCGTCCAGAGACCACATTTTGAGAAACACTGATATAAAAGGTATTCTGGGTCAGGCGTAGTGGCTCATGCCTGTAATCCCAACACTTTGGGAGGCCAAGGATCACCTAAGGTCAGGAGTTCAAGACCAGCCTTGCCAACATGGCAAGGCCCCATCTCTATTAAAAATGTAAAAATAAGCTGGGCACGGTGGTGCATGCATGTAATCCCAGATACTCGGGAGGTTGAGGCAGGAAAATCGCTTGAAACGAGGTGGAGGTTGCAGTGAGCCAAGATCATGCCATTGCACTCCAGCCTGGGCAAGACTACATCTCAAAAAAAAAAAAAAAAAAAAAAAAAAAAAAAAATTATTCTGGCTGGTTGCAGTGTGTGTCACACCTGTAATCCCAACAGCTTTGGGAGGCTGAGGCAGATGGACCGCTTGAGCCCAGGAGTTTGAGACAAGCCTAAGCAGCATGGTAAAACCTTGTCTCTACAAAAAAAAAATACAAAACAAAACAAAAAAATGAGCCGATTGTGGTGGTTGCATGCCTTTAGTCTCAGCTACTCGGGACTCTGAGGAAGGAGGATCACTTGAGCTTGGGAGGTAGAGGGAGGCTGCAATGAGCTGAGATAACACCACTGCACTCCAACCTGGGTGACAGAGCAAGACCCTGTCTCCAAAGGGGGAAAAAAAAAAGATATTCTTAGGTAACAGTGATGGCCTAACCTAATTGAAAGATATGAAATGGTGTTGCAGTTAGATTATATATGTATGGCAGAATGTGATGTGTTATATAGCAAAGGTATAACAGTGTTATGGTACTATAATAGAAGTTAGCATGGTGTTACAGAAGTAGAGAAGACAGATTGATTTGAGCATTTCAGAGAGAAAAATAATAATTAGAATGTTTTTTAAGGAGAACTGTTTGGGACTGGTCATTGAAGAAAGAATTTCAACAGTAAGAAATGGAGTAAGGATGTTTCAGGGAAAAAGGAAGATAATATAAAGTAGACACCCAGAAATTAGACTATGGTGAATGGTGGGTGATTTGAATGAGGTTAGGTTAGAAAGTCTCAGACACAACTGTATTGTAAAGGTTCTCACTTACCAGTGTGAGGGAAAGGTTTCTGAATGACAAAGTGACATCATCAAAATTCTACTTTGAGATTTCTAGAGCAAGAATGAGAAGGATTAATTAATATTGAATAGCATCGAAAAAAATTAAATCTCAGTTTGACTCATTTTGCCTGGGTGATTTTTGTCCTAAGTTATACTTTGTTATATACATTTTATTCCTTATTACAAATTCAGTAATGCTGATTGAAGGAATTTTTTTTCTTTGGTCACAAGTGACAATGGGGTGTGTGTATATATATAGATATGTAGAGAGAGGAGAGAGCCATGAGCAAGACCATACTTTTTTTTCTTGTCATAATAAATTAACATTTTTAATGGTATCACTTAGGCTTCTATAATATTTACTGAAAACATTGCATGATTTTAGCAGACCACTAATATTCAGAGGTTAATATTGAGTTGCTTTTTAAATCGAAAACTTTTAGTTATTTGAACAGTTCTTTCCAATTAAGTTTTCTGTGTGGAGAGAGATACTTGAATTATTTTACAGGTCCCAGACTACTATGACATCATCAAAAAGCCCATTGCCTTAAATATAATTCGTGAAAAAGTGAATAAATGTGAATATAAATTAGCATGTAAGTAATTTATGTTTTTTTGATACTTATTTTTCTAAGACATTGTTATATCACTTTTGATATTTATTTTTGTTTAAAGAGGTAGAGGCTGTTTTTCTCTTTTTGAAAGCATGTGTTAATGCAGTTGTGTAGATGGCATGCCATGAGGTTCCGCAAGTACTTATTAGTGTATGTGGAGATGAACGATGGATTAGGATCAAGTAAGTTAAAGATATTTTATAGATCTGATCTTACTCAAAGAAGTTCTTTATAATTACATAATGTATATGATCACAGAATTGTATAGTTTCAATAAAACAATTTTAAAGTATTTACAATTAAACAGTTTTAAGCGTCAGTTCTGCTACCTTTTTTCAGAATCTTTTTTTTCTTTTTTCTTTTTTTTGAGACAGGGTCTCATTCTGTTGCCCAGGCTGGAAGTGCAGAGGCAAAATTTAGGTTCACTGCAGGCTTGACCTCACAGGCTCAAGCTGTACTCCCACCTCAGCCTCCCAAGTAGCTAGGAGGACCACAGGTGGAGGCCACCATGCCATTTTTTTTGTTTTTGTTTTTTGTGAGATGGAGTCTACTCGGTCGCCAGGCTGAAGTGCAGTGGCATGATCTCAGCTCACTGCAACCTATGCCTCCCAGGTTCAAGTGATTCTTCTGCCTCAGCTTCCCCAGTAGCTGGGATTACAGACGCCTGCCACCATGCCAGGCTATTTTTGTATTTTTAGTAGAGATGGGGTTTCACCATGTTGGCCAGGCTGGTGGCCAAACTCCTGACCTCAGGTGATCTGCCTGCCTCAGCCTCCCAAAGTGCTGGGATTATAGGTGTGAGGCACTGCACCTGGCATGCCTGGCTAATTTTTTATATTTTTTGTGGAGACAGTTTCACCATGTTGCCAAGGCTGATCTCGAACTCCTGACCTCAAATGATCCTCCCACCTTGACCTCCCAAAGTCCTGGGATTACAGGCATGAACCACCATGCCTGGTTAATTTTTGTATTTTTTGTAGACACAGGGTTTCACTGTGTTGCCCAGGATGGTCCCAAACTCCTGAGCTCAAGTGATCCTCTTGCCTCAGCCTCCCAAGTGCTGGGATCACAGATGTGAGCCACCATGCCTAAGGCAGAGTCTTCTCTTTCTAAAGAAAATGTGGGCTTCCATTTTTCTTATGAGATTTCCAGATAGGATACAAGAATTTTATTATAATTTATGTACTTTCATTCTAATCTTGTTTGCTCTATTTCCCTTTCCAGCTGAGTTTATTGATGATATTGAGTTAATGTTTTCGAACTGCTTTGAATACAACCCTCGTAACACAAGTGAAGCAAAAGCTGGAACTAGGCTTCAAGCGTTTTTTCATATTCAGGCTCAAAAACTTGGACTCCATGTCACACCCAGTAATGTGGACCAAGTTAGCACACCACCGGCTACGAAAAAGTCACGAATCTAACTTTGTCCTTTGAAAGGATGTATATGAGGAAAAACAAATTGTTCATGAAAATGGAACATTAAATCATTCTCTAAAGCAGACATATATGTATAAAGCAATAACAACTGATTGACCACATGAAAGTGTGGCCTGCACTATATTCTCAATTTTAATATTAAGCACTCAGGAGAATGTAGGAAAGATGTCCTTTGCTACAGTTTTGTTCAGTATCTAATAAGTTTGATAGATATATTGGATACAGTACTGGTTTACAGAGGTTTTTGTACATTTTTGAGATCATTCATGTGTCCAGAGATCTTGGAAAATATTTTTTCACCTATGATTTATTTTGTTATTGATGATTTTTTTAAAGTTGTGATATTAAGGGAGAGTTATCTACATGGATGATTCTTCTACTATAGGAGAGTTTAGAAAAATGTGTTTATGTCTTCATTGTTTAATGAATACATTCTTTCAACACTACACATGAATGAATCCAATCTTATATCCTTGAAGTGCTGTACCAGTGCTGGCTGGAGGTATTAAGTCTGAGTTTATTAACTAGATATTTATTTAGTATTGAAAGTAATTTGTGAATTTTTTTTGTATTTATAAAATTTATACCTGAAAAATGTTCTTTAATGTTTTAAACTTTTTACTGTTTTTTATTTCTCTTAACTTCCTTAATGATCAGTCAAAAAAAGTAACACCCTCCCTTTTCCCTGACAGTTCTTTCAATTTTACAGAACTGTATTGTAAGTTTCTATATACAGCTTTTTAACTGTACAAATAAAATAACTTTTTTTTTCAAGTAATCTGGAATTCTGTAGTTTTTACAATCAGATTTGGACTTTTCCATGTGATCCAAACAGACCATAGGAACCAATGTTTCATTGTACCTGAGTCTCTATAGCAGTAATTTGCTTATTTTTCTGCCCAAACCCTTGAAGAGTAAGAACTGTTTAATCAAAAACAGTAACATTATGTGCATGGATTCTCATTTAAAAAGAGAGAAAGTTTGGAGTACACTTACCTCATTGAGAAACACTCTAGAAATTAAAGTTTGCGTTCAGATATAACATAAAAGGAGCTACTTCTTAGGTATGGAAGACACAGGGGCTTTAGTTTTGTAACATACTTTTCAGGATGCAAAAGGCAGGTGTCTTCCCTATTCTCTGGGACTCTGGTAGGTGGGAGAGAACCTTCCCTCTATTTTCTTAAAATCCTGAGGATACTGCATTATTAATTAATTAATTTGGAAGTTTACCCCTCTTTCATTTCTAATATAATTTGAGATTATCAATTTTCTAGATTCTTTACATGAATACATCTACAACTGTAACTTTTGGCAAATTTGTATAATTTTATATGCCATAATTTTACTTAGTAGCATTTAAATATCGAGACTTCTGAAAATACAGTGACATGTTAATAAGTTATTTGATTACTATTCTTCACTTTTTTTAAAAATAAAATTTTTAAGTTTTTTAGAATAGAAACAGGGTCTTGCTGCATTGCCCAAGACTAGTCTTGAACTCCTGAACTCAAAGTGATCCACCTGCCTCGAATTCTCAAGGTGCTGGGATTACAGGTATGAGCCACTGTGCCCAGTCAATATTCTTCATTGTTAATGTTAATAAGAAGCAACTTTTATATTAGATTTTCTTCTACACTCTAAACACTAAGGAACCATTTCTGACCAACTAATTATGGAATTATTTAATCTGCTAGTCAGTCATAAAACTTGCAGTTTATTTACCCTTTCTCAGACTGAGTTGACTGAGTTAAAATTTAAGACATTACCCTTTTTTTATTTTCTGGAGTGCAGTGGCATGATCTTGGCTCACTGCAACCTCCACCTCCCGGCTTCAAGCAGTTCTCTTGCCTCACCCGCCTGAGTAGCTGGGATTACAGGCATGTGCCACCACACCTGATTTTTAGAAGAGACAGGGTTTCACCATGTTGGCCAGACTGGTCTCAAACTCTCAACCTCAGTTGATCCACCCACCTCAGCTTCCCAAAGTGCTGGGATTACAGGCATGAGCCACCACACCCAGCCAAGACATTACCTTGCAATCTGCACAGCCAAATTGTCTTATATGCCAAATTCATCATTTATTCCCATACACATCTGCAGTAATTAGAAATTTTAGGCTGGGCATGGTGGCTCATGCCTGTAATCCCAGCACTTTGGGAGGCTGAGGTGGGCAGATCACCTGAGGTCAGGAGTTCGAGACCAGCCTGACCAACATGGTGAAACCGTCCTACTAAAAATACAAAAATTAGACAGGTGTGGTTGCAGAGCTTATAGTTTGCAGTGAATGCCAAGAACTAAGTACTCAGACAGTTCCAGCTGAGCGGGGCTAGGGGATAGTTCTTCCAAGACAGTCCACCCCAGCATCCGTCCAGCAAGTATTTATTGAAAGGGCTTGTATTAACTACAAACATCCACTAGATGGTCATTTGAGGTGAGTTGCTGATGCATCTGTGACCTTGTACCACTCAAACTGCATTCTTGGGAGGCTGTTTTCAGCATTCCTTATCACACCACATACTCCATTCCCTGTTCTGTTTTCAGGGTCAAGGAGTTCCATTCCCATGCACAACTCAAATGCCATGTACATAAGCTTGAATATGTTGCTGTGTGCCCCCTACAGTGGTGGCAGGCACCTGTAATCCCAGCTACTTGGAAGGCTGAGGAGGAGAATTGCTTGAACCCAGGAGGCAGAGGTTGCATTGAGCTGAGATCGCACCTCTGCACTACAGCCTGGTGACAGAGCAAGACTCTACCTCAAAAAATAAATAAGCTTATGGTTTTAAAAGCATTAAAGCAAACTTCTAGACTGGGGGAAAACATACAGAAACATCAGTATACATGTTATTTACTGGTATGCAAATGACCAAGCAATTATTTATTTAGAGATAGGGTCTTGCTCTGTCGCCCAGGCTGGCATACAGTCTGTGACACTGTCATAGCTCACTGTAACTTTGTAACCTGAAACTCCTAGGCCCAGGCAATCCTCTCACCTCAGCCTCC